GGGTTCAGAACCGACGGCCTCTGAACCCCAGAAGTACGGATGGGTATAGAAGGCTCTGCTGATCTTGACATTGTTGGGTAAGCTCTCTTTACCGGCGCGCATTAAGACGTGGTGAGCGAGGGAAGCTCCGGCGCTGTGACTGCCGATGTAAAGCCGTTCAAAATCTGCGTAGGACAACCAGGGCTCCTCGTTAATCACATTTGGGCCGGCATGGGCCTAGATCCATTGGAGCCCGGCCCATCAATCCTCGAAAGCAATAGGGAGAGGGTGCTCTGGAGCTAGCCTGTATTCTATTGAGACTGCCACCACTTTGGCGTGATGCACTAACCTGCTCTCAAAATCATAAATTCAAATCATGCAATAAGCCAATAATGAATAATTAACAAGAATTCTATTTTGCAATTTGAATTTAGGCTACACTAAATTACAAAATATAAGTTGTTGAATGAGAAAATAACTATTAATATTAGAGAGTGCTTTGAAATGTCACATTCAATGACTAAGACTTCATTTGACAATATCCTTCGGTATTTTATTTTATTTTATTTTATTTTTTATTATTTTAAAATTATATAAAATATTAATTAAAAATAAATATTAAAAATTTATTCTAAATCTATCTATATATTAAAAGAGAAACTAACAAAAGAAAATCATGTTATGTGTCAAATTTTTATGTAATCCTTTATTTAAAGTGTTTTGGACATATTACAAAACTTTCTTTATTTGGTAATTTGTTTTACAATGGAGTATTTTTTAAGTTGTTATTTAATGAGATCAGTTAATATCAAAGTCCAAAATTATGGAAAAAAAAGAAAAAAAATCAAATCCAAAAGCTTAATTAATGTCACTTGACTACTATACCATTAGTATATATTTTCTGTAACTTTTTGTTAATTTAAATTCTTTTAAATCAAAAATTGATAAAAGTGACTTATTATTTGGATAAAATTATATGAGAAAAGTGTACATTAAAATATTTAATTCACAATAATAAAAGATTACTAGATTTTTTTATTATACTACTTTTTAAATTAAGTATTTATTATTTTAAAGTCCAATTTTTTTTAGAATTTAAGAAGAATAATTTTATGTTTCAATATTGAAAATTTAACATGAAAATTTTATTTTATTTTTTTTTTTTTGTTTTTTGAACAACTGTCATGGGATTGGATTGAACCGTTGCTTGAGGAAGAAAAGAAGGTGAACCTTTACAATAGTGACAGATATCACTCGATCCGATAAGCCAGGTTCATGAAAAATTAGAAATTTAAATTTTAAGGTTTTAGAATTCAACATTTAGTTTTATAATGTTAGAGTTTTGGATTTTAAAATTTTTACTTGGGAGTCTTTCTAGCTGGTAGCCACTCCCATAAACAAAAGAATGGGGTTCTTGGAAAATGCTTAGAACAAGGCAGCCAATGGTTTTCCTGGAACATGCTTGGGAGTCTTTCTAGCTAACCACTCCCATAAACAAAAGAATGGGTTTCTTGGAAAATGCTTAGAAAAAGGCAGCCAATGGTTTTCCTGGAACATGCTTGGGAGTCTTTCAAGCTGGTAACCACTCCCATAAACAAAAGAATGGGGTTTCTTGGAAAATGCTTACCTTAGAAAAAGCAGGGGAAAGATATGTTCGTAGATAACAAATAAAGGGATTCATGTTTCATTAGGTAAATTGTATAAATTGATTAACATTTTTTAATTAAA